GAGAGAGAGAGAGAGAGAGAGAGAGAGAGAGAGAGAGAGAGAGAGAGAGAGAGATGAGCGATACAAGATTGGTTGTTACGTACCTGTGAAGTTGCTGCGCAGACCCACGAAGGAGGAAGAAATCGGCCATAGCCGCAGAGTTGTATTACGGAGTGACGAAGGAGGACAGAGAGGAGGGACCAAGAAGAAAGATAGAGGGAGAAGTGTGGAAGGAGGGACATAGAAGAAGGAGGCAGACATAGCCGAGGGTGACCAAAAAAAAAAAAAAAAAAAAAAAAAAAAGAAAGGAAGAAGAAGGTGAAGGGGAAGGAAGGAGAAGGCAAGGGTGGCGAAGGTGAAGGTGCCGGCAGCCATAGCCGAGTTAAGAGATGACAAGAGGGTTGACCGGGCGTTGACCGGAAGGTTGACCGAGGTGTTGACCAGGGCCTTGCAGCGTTGACGGAGGAGTTGACCGGCGCCGTTGACCAAGACTTGGACCAAGTTGGAGTTGGTAATGCCTCGCCAAGCCCCTAGCCTATCCCCTCACCCTGTGGATGTGCACTCACCCTACGGTACTTGCTGAGTCTGAGTCTGTCTGTCTTTGCTTTCTGCATCGAGTCTCTTCTGTCCTAAGTGGTAGCACTCTGTGGATAAAGGATAGTGCTTGGATGACGAAACCTTAGTCTGGCCTTGTAGGGCTGATGTTGTGGCTGATCCAACTTTCCAGGGGGGGCTAACCCTCCCAAGGACCGGTGCTGACCGGCTGGAAACGGTTGGTAGGACTCAGTGGGCCTGAATGACAGCTAAGGCTGACACACGAGGCAGTCTTTAAGTGTTGAGGGCCTGTTTGAACCACTCCCCTACCGGACATAGCAAGGCTGATGATCTGTGTCTGACGACTCGACTGTCCCAGGGGATACGAACCCTCCCAAGGACCGGTACAGACCGGCGGGCTGCTCGGTGTGGCACAGTAGGCCGGAAAGGCTGAGCTGTGGGCTGAAAGCACAACCAGAACCACGCTGATCACGTCGTCCTGACTGCGACGTTAAAGAATTATTGAGGAGTTACAGGGGATCTCCTAAAATGCCTCCAAATCAGCTGTTGGTTAAGTAGTGACAGCCTTAGAGTAGGTCTAAAGTAGTGACCATAGTTGGCAGGGTTCCACCCTGTGGTCCCTAGAGAGTCAGTCAGTGTGTCAGTGTCCGGGTAGGTCTAAGTGGTGAGGAGTGGGACTCCTTGTCGTGCACCTGACACCACTCTGGATGACTATCCGATCTATGGGTTACTTGTTGGGTTCTCCTTGTGGGGGACCCTCTGGCGTCTCCTCTTCCCCCTGGGATTCTGGCCCACGGTCACGTGTAGAGTAGGCACCCGGGGCGGCACCTCCACTACACCTTACACGAAGGAGGAGGAGGAGGAGATGGCCGCCATCCTGCAGGAGAGAAAGGAGAAGAAGGAAGCCAAGAAGAAGGCCCTGCAGGAGGAGCAGGTGACAAAGTTGAAAAAGATAGGAGGAGATGGCGAGAGAAAAAAAGAGGTTGAAGAAGGAAGAAGAGAAGTTGAAGGCGGTGGAAGAGGAAGAAGAAGATGAACCGCCACTGCAAGGGAGGAGAGGGCAGCACAGTGGCAGCAAAGATGAGGAGATGGAGAAACGGATTTCAGAGTGGGTCGCCAACTTATCCCTGGGCGAAGAGGAAGAGGTAACTATGTACATCCCCAAGGATGAGCAGGAAGCCGCTATGAGAAAATGGGAAGCAGAAGCAGATGTCCTGAAGCGGCAGGCGATGGTAGATGAAACGAGGATGGAGTGGAAACTCGCAATGATGAGAGAGAAGAAGAAAAGAGTGGACGAGGCGAGCGAAGCGGTCAAGGATCAGGAGGAGGTGCAGAAACTGACTCTACGATTGACCCCCCAGGTAGACCTCCAACAAAAGGTAGAGATCATTGCCCAGAGTGTTGAACGTTTACCCAGAATGCAAGAACAGCAATATGAGTTTAGCCGAAGCCAGGATATAGCTGTGCGTTCAATGCGAATGGGATTTTGGGACTTTGCCCGCGAGCTGGTAGGTGCTGTAAGAGCCGAGGTGAATCATCGCCTCGAGAAGACTGAGCGCTTTTGCGTGGGCGCCATCAAGGGCGTCAAGGTGGCAGCTCCCAAGGAGGAAGAAGCGCGTCCTCGTAGGGAGCCGGTCAAAGTCAAATTCCCTGATTCCTACAGTGGAAAAAGGGAAGAGAACTTTGACAACTGGGAGGCCAACGTCAATACCTATGTGCATCTGCAACAGGTCGCCCCAGATCAGCACGTGTTGATTGCGATTCATGCGCTTAGAGACGAGGCCGCCAGTTTCGCAAGGTCCCTAGTCAGCGCGACCAACTGGAACAACGATGCGGTGGCCTGTTCATCGTTCACTCCCCTCGTTGACTTCATGAAATTGCTGGGCGAGCGATTCGCTGATGTCGCTCGCAGTGTCAAGGCCTCAGATAAGCTCCAAACAATCCATGCTCGTAAATGGAAGAGTGCTCAAGGGCACGATGGATGAGTTAGTGGCTGTCCCTGACCATGGAGTCACAGAGGCCCAATTGGTCGGCCTCTTCTATCGGGCTATGCCCGAAGCCTTTCGAGGGCAGTTCTTCGCGAAGAGCGAAGAGCGAAGAGCCTGCCACCACTTATGATTTTCTTAGCCGTCAAGTGGTGGCTTTCGAAGCGAAGCGGTGTCGCTCTCTACCTTCTGGCACAAAGACCTCGACAAAGGAAAGTAATGGAAAGGTCGCACGATCTCAGGGCAAGTGAAGACTAAGGATAGTCTTGTCCTGACTTGAGACGAAGGTAGTGTCGACGAGATCCCCTATGAACAGATTGAATGGGGGTTAGAGGACGAGGACAGCGGTGCGAGTCAGGGGAGAACTTACGCTGTTGTCATGGCTGGAGGGAGGCCGCAAGGAGGGCGAGGCCAAGGCCAAGGGGGCCGGGCCTCAGGGAGCCAGTTTCAGGGCGATTAGGGGGGTGGCGGCAGAGGAGGAAACTGCCAAGCGGGAGGAAGGGGTCAAGGTCCCCCGCAAAACCGTCCTAGGAATAGGTCTCCCTATAGGGTAGGTGGATGGCACCCAGGGCTACCTCAGGGTAGGCCTTGGGAAAGTTTGGGTCTGGACCAGAGCTTATGGCAACAGCGTCTGGACCGGGGCGAGTGCATTTTCTGCGGTGACCCGGGCCATATCATTAAATACTGTCCCAAGTATAGAGAGACCCGGACGGCTGCTCAAGGGTCAAAAGGCAGCTGCCGGCAGGGGTGGCAACTGCCCCTACCACAAGGCCATGTGGGGAACATAGCGCTAGCCAGCAGGAGACTCCCACACCACATGTGCCTATGGCAGAGGTTGCAGGCCGGTGTCTAGATAGCTGTCAAGAGACTGCTTGTGTGAGGGTCTCTTTTGACACCTCCCTCACAGGCGTGGCTGAAGAATTGAAGGAGAGGATGCCTGCTTGGGCCAAGATGAAGAAAGAACAGAAGGGGCAGCTAATATTGGTAGATGTAGAGATTTTTAGAGGTAGAGTAGGGGCCCTAGTAGATTCAGGGGCTACCCACAGCTATATTAGTAGAAAAGCGCTGCAGAAGTTGAAGCTGGGACTTAAGGTCCAAAAGCTAGCAGACCCTATAGTTAGTATCCTCGCAGACAACCGTACAATGATTGTAGAGGATTATGTACAGGGAGTCCATGCGTATTTCTGCCTAGAGAAAAATGGGAAAGTGGAGAAGGTCCTCCACTCCCAGACTCTCCTCGTAGAAGACAGCCTCCCATTCGATATTGTCCTGGGAATGGATTGGGGATTGGCAGTCGGGGCCACACTCCATTTGAAAGAGCACGAGTGTAAGCTCCCTAGTCCTTCAGGCGAGGCTAAGACTGCCCGTCTGTTCCATGTGTCAGGAGTAAAAGAATCCCCTGGCGCATTGCTGCCTCTGTGCACCTGCATTCGCGAGATTCGTGAAGGAGCACCTAGAAGAACAGGTCTTTGTAGCCTATGTTAGGCCAGTGACTGAGCCTAAGGAAGAAAAGCCTATAGACCCTGCTATTGCCAAATTGCTGGAGGAGTTTAAAGATCTAGTTGAGCCGCCGACAGGAGTATCGCGGCCCATCCAGCATCGCCTTGAGATAGAGCCTGGCAGTAGAACTCCTAAGGGTGCGGTGTACAGGATGTCCCCGCGGGAGTTAAAGGAGCTTCGTAAGCAACTAGACGATTAGGCCCAATTCATCTCCATTTGGAGCGCCTGTTCTCTTTGTCCCCAAGAAAGAGGGAGAGCTGAGGATGTGTATAGACTATAGGGGCCTGAATGCTGTTACAGTGAAGAATGCTAAGCCATTGCCTAGGATAGACGATCTCTTGGATCGAGTGCAGGGGGCGAAATACTTCTCAAAGATAGATTTGAAGTCCAGATATCATCAGATAGAGTTGCATCCTGATGATCAGTATAAGACAGCCTTCCGGACTACATATGGGCACTATGAGTTCATAGTGATGCCCTTTGGACTAACCAATGCGCGAGCGACGTTCCAGCGCTGCATGAACGATTTGTTTAGGCCATGGTTAGATAGATTTGTTGTTGTCTACTTTGATGACATCTTAGTGTTTAGCAAGACCCTCCAAGAACATCAGGGTCATCTCAGGCAGGTCTTGGAGAAGCTGAGAGAAGCAAACTTCAAGATCAATGCAAAGAAGTGCGATTGGGCGAAGACCGAAGTCTTATATCTAGGCCTCGTCTTAGACGGAGACGACGTTAAGCCAGAAGACGGCAAAATCGCAGCGATTAGAGATTGGCCCACGTTGTGTACGCTAACAGAGTTGCGGTCATTCTTGGGCTTAGCTAACTAATATAGGAAGTTTGTGAGGAACTTCTCCACTATCGCTGCGCCCCTTCGTAGACTGCTTAGGAAGGAGGCCATCTGGAAGTGGGATAAGGACTGCACGTGTGCCATGAAGAAGTTGAAGCGTGCATTGATAGAGTACCCAGTCCTTAAGGTAGTCGATCCGTCCTTGCCCTTTGTCGTCACTACGAACGCTAGTCAGTACGACATAGGTGCTGTGTTGCAGCAAGACGATGGCAATGGTTATAGACTCGTAGAGTTCATGTCCGCTAGGATGCCTTCAGAGAAGGTTGCGACATCTACCTATGAGAGGGAACTCTACGCTCTCAGGCAAGCATTAGAGCACCGGAAGCATTCCTTGCTTGGGAGGCACTTCAAAGTCTATTTTGACCACGAGACCTTGCGATGGTTAAAGACGCACGCCAAGATGACACCTAAGCTTACTTGGTGGGCCGCAAAAATAGATCAGTACGACTTTGAGCTCAAGCCGGTCAAAGGGAAGTATAACGTAGTTGCGGACGCTCTGAGTAGGAGAGCTGCAGAAGACTTTAGCCAACCTGATGCACGCGTACACCTGGCCAGGAATGAAAAATGACTGCATAGAGTATGTTTGCAGTTGCAAAGTCTGCCAGCGAAATAAGTCCACTACGCGTGCCCCTCTGGGCCTTCTCATACCTTTTCCTATCCCTGATCAGCCGGGAGATTCAGTGTGCATTGACTTCATGGACACCGGCGTTAAGAGTAGACATGGCAAGAGCCAAGTTATGGTCGTGGTAGACAGAATTAGTAAGTATGCTATTTTTGTTCCCTTGCCGTCAGAAGCCAAATTAGTAATTCAGAAGTTCTTTGATCACGTCAGTGAACGCGGGGTTCCGCTGTCTATAGTTAGCGGTAGAGATACCCGGTTCACGTATGATTGATGCGAGTCTACAGATCCAAGTTGTTGATGTCATCTGGCCGTTATCCGGAGACGAACGGTCAGACCGAACAGATGAACAAGATCCTTCAGCAAGTCCTGCGCATGTACATTAGACCTGATCAAGTCAATTGGGATGAGATGTTGCCCAAGGTAGCCAGCGCATACAACAACAGCCTGCACTTGTCAACCTGCCGCACTCTCAACGAGCTCCATAAGTCTTTTAGACCACGAAGACCATTTGAAGGGCTTAACCGGGATCAGATTCATAGGCTACCTCCCGGTACAAGGGAGTTTGCGATTCAGCATGAGAAAGAGATAGCAACTGTTGTTGAGAATCTCAGGAAGGCCCAACACCGCATGATTGAACAAGCGAACAAGCACCGTCGCCCTTCACAGTTTCAAGTAGGCGACTTAGTCTGGGTCCAGTCTAAGGAGTTTGCGCCTGAAGAGAACATTTCGCAGAAGTTACTGCCTATGTATAGAGGCCCGTGGCCGGTTCTGGAAGTCAAGGGCGGCGACGATGGACCATCCTATACCATAGAAATCCCAGCACACCTCCACACTTACCCAGTTTTCCATGCATCGAAGTTGTTACCTTGTCAAACAAATGATCAGTTTCCATCCCGTAGGTCTATGATCCAACCAGATATGGATGGAAGGTATGACATCGATGGCATAGTGGCGGAAGATGTATTGAGGACTGGAGCTAGAGGTCGTCCACAGAGACAGTACAAGGTTCATTTTAGTTATCAAGAGCCTGAAGACGACCGCTGGTTTACGAGATCTGAACTTCGAGAGACAGCTCTCGATATAGTCCGGGCCTACGAGAGGCAACAGAAAGGTAAAGGTCCTGCCTTGGACTGAAATTTTCTCGGAGGACCTCGAATTTAGGCCGGCGGGAAACGGTATTCACCAGTTTAAAGTAACTGATGCAGATCCCAAGGCTCGATCCCTAGTTCCCCACCTTACCTGTGTACAATACCTGTGTCAACCCGTAGATTTGAACCTGTGACCTGTAG